CCCGGGGGTCCTGGCGCCGGAGGGGATCTGTGCGTGCCGGAGCGCCCGGGACAAGGGGGATCTGCGAGCCGGGAGGGGGCTGCGTGGGCCAGGGGACCACGGGCCCGGTGGCCTGTGCAGGGTGGAGGGCCCGGTGCCCAGGGGATCTCTGTGGGCGGGGGGGCTCAGAGCAGGGCTGCGAGGGCCGGGTCCCCCTGGGCTGGGCAGATCCCTGGGGGCGGGGGGTCCCAGCGTGGGCTCCGTGTGTTCCTTGCTGGCTGCAGCCCTCCCGGAGGCAGGGCCTCGCCACCCCCCTCACCTCCGCTCTCGTCCCCAGGGTCTCCCGGTTCTCCGAAGCCTCTCGAGCCGCCCTGCCCTCGCCATGCTGCGCCTGCTGCCATGGCTCCGTGCTCTGACCCGAGAGAGCGTGCGGCCCGGAGCCCTGCAGGGCCTGGCTGCTGGTGACAGGAGCGGGGCCGGGATGTATCCCACCTGCTACTGTGCTGGCAAAGCGAAGCAGCGGGCTGTGCTGCTCCCCCTGGACCCCTACGGCCATGGGCTGCTGCACACCTTCCCCCCGGACGCCTACAGGACTCGAGGCCATGGCAAGAGGAAGAGCTGGAACTTCATCCACGAGAAGATGAGTTATGACACCTTCTTCACAATGAAGCGTCTGATAGAGCGCTCGCGCAGCGTGGGGGAGGTGCTGCGGTGGGTCACGCAGAACCCCAGCAAGGTGTCCGGCGGGCCTGGCCAGATGCTGGAGCAGCCGGAGTTTCAGACTCTCTGTCAGGCCATCATCAGCGGCTGCTCCAAGTTCGATAACTTCAGCATCGTCAACTGCCTGTACGCCGCTGCCGCGCTGGGTGAGTGTCGCGGGCTGCCGGCACCTGCCTGCGGGGGGTGACCGGCAGAGGGCAGGGGAGGTGGGCAGGGCAGCGGGACACGGGACGGTGCTCGGGTTTGTGAGGTGAAAGGACAGCTGGCTGGTCCGGCTGCCATGGAAGGGGGAAGGACGTGCCAGAACAGGAGCCAGTGTCTGGGTTTGTGCATGGATTTACGTGTGACGGTGGCTTTGTGGCAGATGGAGTTGTGCCCTTTGAAGGAGGGGGCTCTGCTTGGGATACACAGCAGGGAGGGAGTCAGGCAGAGTGACTGCTCGGGGGGGCTCGGCTGGCCGCAGCACCCGGCATGCCGGCCCGAAGGGCAGCCGAAGCTGTGGCCAGTGCTGCCTGGCAGCATCGGGATAAACCGCTCCTTGAGTTTCGTTCCAGTCCCTGAAAATCAGCAAACAAGTGTGGGACACAGGATCTCGGCTAAACCCTTTGCGAGCCACGAGCCCTCTGTCAGTGGGAGTTTAATATTCGGCAGAAAAGGTTCAGGCCGGTTTGGGTTCTTGCGCAGCAGCCGCTGGGCCGGCCAGGGGGCCGTGTCCCAAGGGGCTCCCCCCTCGCTGAGCCGGGGGCCCCCGAGGGCCCTATGGATTCTCCCGCCTGCGAGGAAGAGGGTCGGGTCTGGCGGCGGGGCGGGGGGCAGGTGCCTGCCCCCCCCGCCCCAGCGGTTCCTGCCAGCCCCGTGCTCCTCTGTCCCACGCGCGCGGTTCCTGCCCTTGTGTTTGCTTTTTTTTTCCCAGCGCAGCTGCACGCTGGGCTGAGGCCTCGGCTGAGCTGCGTACGGAGACGCCCGGTCCCCGCCACGGGTTGATGCAGTAACTCTAGATCCCGCTGAAGGGGGGAGGGAAGAAGTTTCTGCTCTTCCCCCCTCTGTCTCACGGCGCCTTGTGTTTGTTGACACTGAACTCTTGGCCGCCAGGCGCCTCTCCCCTCAGCTGGGCTCCCCCCGGCCTGCTCTGGTTTTGACCCACACTTTGTTCTCCGTCAGTCGCCCTTCCGTGCTCACCACGCTTACCCCCTCATTAATAAAAACGCTAAGCCACCTTTTTGAGGCCTTTTTAAGGAACAAAGCAACTGCTCAGACCAATTCTTCACTTTCCACCTTCTGACTGATTTTTGATTAATGATGAAACGCAGCAACTTACCCCATGCTGCCTTAGTTGCTTTAAAGCCCTTTTGAAAATTGAAATCTTGCCAGCTGGCTTAGGAGACCAGTGGGCTACCAGGGCCTCATACAGCGCGTAATGCTTCATGCATTGCCTGAAAATATCAATCCTGACACACGAAGGATGGCCTTTGCCTTTTCTCGTAACTGCACTGTGCGCCTGGCCCCTTGTCTTTCCGTGGCTGAATAATATGTCCAGAGTTGAAGAAAGTATTTCCCCCAGGAGCCGAGTTTGAACGACTAAAGCTAAACTAGAAAATGGGAGAAGGTTAGAAATGTGGAAGGATAAATTCCTGTCATACACGGACAGTTTTTATTTTGGTAATGAGCTGATGTCTTACTTGCTTTCCAACCAAAATTTATTTTTTTAAGTAGTTTTTGAGGTGTATTATTTATCTTTAAAAAGTTTGAGACTTTAAGGAATAAACCTTGCTTTTGCGGATGAACTAAAGGACTTCCATTTTGGTGGAGGGGGTGGGAATAATCCAGTGGCTCCAAATGACTTTTTCTGCGGTGCAGATGCACTGACGTTCTGGCCAGGCTTTGCC